AAGACTACGATTTATTTCCGTTCACTTCTTTCTGAATGTCCATGTTGCAACGGCAGGCGACCACCTACAGCTGCGGCCCAAGGGTGGAGGTTTACGAGCTCAGAAAGGGCTCTCTCCTTTGTTGCCCCGCCTCGTCATTCATTTCCTTTGCTTCTATTGATCCCCCTCTCAAATCCTGCAGGTGACCACCTACAGCTGCGGCCCAAGGTGGAGGTGTACGAGCTGAGCAAGGACTCCAAAAGAGGCTTCGACCTGGACGTCTCTCTCTTTGAGCGCCTGGCCCACTCAAAGCAGATCCCTGTGTACACGCTCGCCACGCAGCGCCGCATGCGCCCTGAGATCGCTGACCTCATTCGCTACACCATCTACCCCGGCCTGAAGGATCACCGTTTCGTGCAAGGGTACGTCGCATGCTTATGCCGCGCTTGGGAAAGCATGCTTATCTGCTGCTCTGCAAGGATATACAGCATGCTTGTGTGTTGTCTCAACAGCTCTCACATAGATGATATGACCCTCATCCGCTACAGACGCTACCTAATGGACCACCAGTCTGACATGCCTGCTGACTCAAGGCCGCTCGTCGTCCCGGGGTAGAACTGTCTGACATGGCGGTATCCAAAGAAGCATCCCCATCTGTAGGACTGGCTGACATGGCGGTATCCAAAGCAGCATCCCCATCTGTAGGACTGTCTGACATGGCGGTATCCAAAGCAGCATCCCCATCTGTAGGACTGTCTGACATGGCGGTATCCAAAGAAGCATCCCCATCTGTAGGACCATCCCTTACTGCCTCAATCCATCCCTCCATCCCACCCTCCCTCCCTCCCTCCCTCCCTCCCTCCCTCCCTCCCTCCCTCCCTCCCTCCCTCCCTCCCTCCCTCCCTCCCTCCCTCCCTCCCTCCCTCCCTCCCTCCCTCCCTCCCTCCCTCCCTCCCTCCCTCCCATCTCCCTCCCTCCCTCCCTCCCTCCCTCCCTCCCTCCCTCCCTCCCTCCCTCCCTCCCTCCCTCCCTCCCTCCCTCCCTCCCTCCCTCCCTCCCTCCCTCCCCACCACCCCTCCCCAGGTACCCAGACGTGAGGGGCATGGCGGCCAATCTGCACTTTTGGGACCACGGCTTCCCTGAGACAGGCAGGGACGACCTGGGGGAGGGCAAGTCCAAGTCCAACGCGGGCGAGGCAGCCATGGTGGTGGCCCTCGCCACCTACCTCCTGCAGCAGGGGTACACGGGGGGCGAAGTCACCATCCTCACGCCCTATGTGGGCCAGCTGCTGAAGCTGCGCCAGGCGCTTTCTCAGGTGGTGAACGTGCGCCTGGGGGAGGGGGATGCGGAGAAGGTGGAGGAGGCAGAGGAGAAGGCGGCTACTAGGGAAGGTGCAGCTGGGGGGGAGGCGGCTGGGGGGGCAGGAGAGGCGGCCGCGGGGGTGGGGAGTTCAGCTGCGAAGGGGAAAGGGTTAGAGCCAGAGTTAGCTGCGCCTAAAGTGACCACTGCGGATCTGAAGGATGCGGTTCGGCTAGCCACTGTGGACAAGTGAGTGTGTGGTGTGGCTGGAGCAGCATGGACAAGAGGGTTAATGTGGAGCACGAGAGTGGAAGAGCGGAATAGCCTTTGCTTGTCTTTATAATGTGCAAAGCTTCAAAAGTATTTTCTGCTCCCTTCTGGTGTTGGTAACGTGCAGTTTCCAAGGCGAGGAGAGCACGGTGATCATCATCTCCCTCGTACGGAACAACGTGGATGGCAAGATCGGGTTCCTCAAGAGCCCCAACCGCACCAACGTGCTGCTGTCCCGCGCCAAGCACGGCATGTATATCATCGGTGAGTGCTACCTTGTGGATGGATTATGGATACTGCCTGAGGCTTGAGGCTGATCACATACATGCCAGATGGTGTTACATGCATGCCGCACCAACGTGCTGCTGTCCCGCGCCAAGCACGGCATGTACATTGTTGGTGAGTGCATGGCAAGTGTATCACACTGGTGAGCACATGGCACCATGAAGGCGGCTGCTTCCAAGAAGTTGCTTGGCTTGTCTGGAAGATCCAAAGACTACCCTGCATGTGAATGTTGTGCACCACGCCAGTGAATGTTGTGCACCACGCCAGTGAATGTTGTGCACCACGCCAGTGAATGTTGTGCACCACGCCGGTGAATGTTGTGCACCACGCCGGTGAATGTTGTGCACCACGCCAGTGAATGCTGTGCACCACGCCAGTGAATGTTGTGCACCACGCCAGTGAATGTTGTGCACCACGCCAGTGAATGTTGTGCACCACGCCAGTGAATGTTGTGCACCACGCCAGTGAATGTTGTGCACCACGCCGGTGAATGTTGTGCACCACGCCGGTGAATGTTGTGCACCACGCCAGTGAATGTTGTGCACCACGCCAGTGAATGTTGTGCACCACGCCAGTGAATGTTGTGCACCACGCCAGTGAATGTTGTGCACCACGCCGGTGAATGTTGTGCACCACGCCGGTGAATGTTGTGCACCACGCCGGTGAATGTTGTGCACCACGCCAGTGAATGTTGTGCACCACGCCAGTGAATGTTGTGCACCACGCCGGTGAATGTTGTGCACCACGCCAGTGAATGCTGTGCACCACGCCAGTGAATGTTGTGCACCACGCCAGTGAATGTTGTGCACCACGCCAGTGAATGTTGTGCACCACGCCGGTGAATGTTGTGCACCACGCCAGTGAATGCTGTGCACCACGCCGGTGAATGTTGTGCACCACGCCGGTGAATGTTGTGCACCACGCCAGTGAATGTTGTGCACCACGCCAGTGAATGTTGTGCACCACGCCAGTGAATGTTGTGCACCACGCCGGTGAATGTTGTGCACCACGCCGGTGAATGTTGTGCACCACGCCGGTGAATGTTGTGCACCACGCCAGTGAATGTTGTGCACCACGCCAGTGAATGTTGTGCACCACGCCAGTGAATGTTGTGCACCACGCCGGTGACCATGCTGCAGAGCTGTGTTGTGGGCGTGCTGAGCGGTTCTTTTCGCTGTGCTGTGTAATTTACAGCTGCACTCTTCCCAGCTGGTCTACTTCTTAGAATACTTCCTCCAAATTCTCTGCTCTCTTCTCCCTTCTCTCAACTCCCAACATCTTCTCCATTCCCCCTTCTCCCTTCTCCCTCATCCTTCCCTTCTCCCTTCACCTATCTCCTCCCTGCGAGCAGGCAATGCCAGCACTATGAGGGCGGCTACGTCCAAGTCGGTCCTCTGGCCTCGGATAATGGACATGCTGGAGAGCAAGGGGCGCGTGGAGAAGTTCATTCCGCTGCGCTGTGTGAACCACCCGGACACGGTGACGCACATTGAGAGAGCCGGGGAGTTTAAGGAGAAGGCCAGCGAGGGCGGATGCTCCCAGATGTGCGGCTTCCGACTTTCCTGCGGCCATACTTGTCCCCGCAGGTCAGAAACGACATGCATGCATTCTTTGCATTCTACATGACAAGGTTGCATTGGAGTCGAGTCGCATGTTGGGTGCCATGGGCTGCAAGGATGCTCTTTCTCTCTCTCATCTGCATTCCTTTACCCAACAGGTGCAATGGCCATGACAGAGAGCGCACGGCGCACGCACCAGCACCCGTGAAGTGCAACTGCATTGTAATGAGTCGAGTTTTGAGTCGACTCAAAACTCGACTCATCACTCGTGAAGTGCATCTGCATTGTAATGAGTCGAGTTTTGAGTCGACTCAAAACTCGACTCATCACTCGTGAAGTGCATCTGCATTGTAATGAGTCGAGTTTTGAGTCGACTCAAAACTCGACTCATCACTCGTGAAGTGCAACTGCATTGTAATGAGTCGAGTTTTGAGTCGACTCAAAACTCGACTCATCACTCGTGAAGTGCATCTGCATTGTAATGAGTCGAGTTTTGAGTCGACTCAAAACTCGACTCATCACTCGTGAAGTGCATCTGCATTGTAATGAGTCGAGTTTTGAGTCGACTCAAAACTCGACTCATCACTCGTGAAGTGCATCTGCATTGTAATGAGTCGAGTTTTGAGTCGACTCAAAACTCGACTCATCACTCGTGAAGTGCATCTGCATTGTAATGAGTCGAGTTTTGAGTCGACTCAAAACTCGACTCATCACTCGTGAAGTGCAACTGCATTGTAATGAGTCGAGTTTTGAGTCGACTCAAAACTCGACTCATCACTCGTGAAGTGCATCTGCATTGTAATGAGTCGAGTTTTGAGTCGACTCAAAACTCGACTCATCACTCGTGAAGTGCATCTGCATTGTAATGAGTCGAGTTTTGAGTCGACTCAAAACTCGACTCATCACTCGTGAAGTGCATCTGCATTCGGCCTCTGGAGAAGTGTCCGCGCCAGCGCACACGTTCTACACATTTCTCAGTAGCACTCATTCTGTCTGCAATCGTTGCCCGTCAGCATCGGCACACGTGCTGTTTCATTACCTTTACCGCACTCTTCTCTCTTCAACCTTGCACCCAACAGGTGCCACAGTGACGACAGAGCACACGCCAATTGTCTGCCCCAATGAGTGCAACCGCATTTGCCTTCTGGAGGAGTGCCCGCATAAAGAGAGGATGGCCGCATCAGCACACGTGCTGTTTCGATACCTTAACTACACTATTCTCTCTTCAACCATGCACCCAACAGGTGCCACAGTGACGACAGAGCGCATGCCCAAGGAGTGCAACCGCATTCGGCCTCGGGAGGAGTATCTGCACCAGCACATTTGCGTTTTTCAAATTCTTCAACACACCCTTTCGTCTTCCATTCCCTCAACTGACAGGTGCCACAGTGACGACAGAGCGCATGCCCGTGCGTTCTGCCCCAAGGAGTGCAACCGGATCCGCCCATTGGAGGAGTGTCCGCACCAGCACACGTGCCCCAAGCAGTGTGGCGAGGCCTGTGGGCCCTGCCTCGTCACCACCAGGGAACTCACACTCCCCTGCGGCCATCAGGCGTTCCATGTGCCGTGCTACAACGTCCAGAATCCCTCTTCCATCTTCTGCTCGTAAGTTCCTCTTTCCCTTGGCCTCTGGAGGAGTGTCCGCACCAGCACACGTGCCCCAAGCAGTGTGGCGAGGACTGTGGGCCCTGCCTCGTCACCATCCAGGCACTCACACTCCCCTGCGGCCATCAGGCCTTCAACGTGCCCTGCTTCAAGGCTCAGAAGCCCTCCACCATCTTCTGCTCGTGAGTTTCTCAAAAGCACTTCGCTCATTTAAGTGGTTCCTGAGAGCTCTTAAAATAAAAACAGCTCCCCTACGGTCATTGGCCTTTTCAGTGTCTCGTGGTTCAAGACGCAGAATCCCAATTTTATCTTCTGCTCATGACTTCCTTGCGCCCCAGGCTGCCGCCTGCCTCCCAACGGTTACTGCTTCGCTGTTTCTCCCCTTTTCTTGTTCGGTTTTCAGTTTCTCATGTCTGTTCTTTTTGCGACTTCCCTCTGTGCCAGGATAATGGTGGAGGTCACGATGCCCCTGTGCGGGCACAAGCAGACAGTCAAGTGTGGCGAGGCCGCCACCAGAGTAACCAACCCCAGCTCTGCACCGCTCGCTTCTCATGTTCACTTTTGTCCCTTCCCGTTCTCAAATCCCATCGTGCCAGGACACAAGCAGTGGCAGAGTAATGGTGGAGGTCACGATGCCCCTGTGCAGGCACAAGCAGACAGTCAAGTGTGGTGAGGCGACCACCGCAACAAGCAATTCCAACCCAAGCTCTGCTCCACTGGCTGCAAGGTTCTCATGTCCGCCCTTCTCACTTTCCCCTCTCAAACCACCCAATGTGGCAGAGTAATGGTGGAAGTCACGATGCCCCTGTGCGGGCACAAGCAGACAGTCAAGTGTGGCGAGGCCGCCACCAGAGTAACCAAACCTGAGCTCTGCACGGCTCGCTGCGGCGTTGTGCTCTCAGACTCCTGCGGGCACACCTGCATCTCTCCCTGCGGCCAGTGCATCGTTGCTCCAGCTGCTACCACCGACCAGGGGCAGGGCTCACAACAGCAGCAGCAGCAGCAGCAGCAGCAGCAGCAGCAGCAGCTAGAGAGAAACCACAAGAAGTGCATGCAGCCATGCCAGCGCCCGCACCCCTGTGCGCACCTCTGCCCGGACCCCTGCCACAGCGGCACGCCCTGCAAGCCCTGCACCAGAAAGTGCCTCGTGGCTTGCCAGCACAGCTCCTGCCCCCAACCCTGCCACCGAACCTGCGCGCCCTGCGCCGAGCCTTGCGGGTGGCACTGCAAGCACCAGGGCCGGTGCTCGCTCCCCTGCGGCGCCCCCTGCAACCGCCTCCCGTGCGAGCAGCGGTGCGAGAAAAAACTCAAATGCGGCCACCAGTGCCCGTCCCTCTGCTCGGAAAAATGCCCTCCGAAGGCCTACTGCGCAGTTGCTGGGTGCGGGGCTAAGGAGAAGAGAGAGATGAGAGTGGATCTGGTCACTCTGGAGACGCTAGGGGAGATTGATCCGGACGAGAGTCCCGTCCTGGTGCTGCCGTGTGGTCATACTTACACTGTGGAGACTCTGGATGGTCACCTGGGGCTGAACCAGGTTTACCAAGAGGCAGAAGCCGGGTCTGCTGGTGGTGGCAGCAGTGCTGCTGGAGGGGCTGCTGGAGGGGCTGCTGGAGGTGGGCTGGAAGCAGCTGCAACTGCACCCAAGTGGGTGGCAGTGCGGCCGTTTGACGATGGCGGCCTGTCCGCCCTCAAGGGCTGCCCGGAGTGCCGCCAGCCGATCACTGGGCTGCGCCGGTACGGCAGGATGGTGAACAAGGCGCTGCTGGACGAATCAGAGCGCAAGTTCACCCTCAGCTGCCTGGCCGACCAGCAGCAGCTGCAGCAGAAGCTGTCCAAATTAAGCCAGGCCATATCTGCCTGCCCTGAGGCTGCCCAATCCTGGCATGTGCAACAGTTAGCTCGGGCTGCGACCTTTCTAATAATGCAGGCAAGCAACGTGCGAGACACTGCTATGAAACCGCCTACCCAGCAGACGTACCAGGCTTGTGTGGCTGTGCTGCAGAGAAAGCACCTCCAGTTGTTGGGCTTGTCGTCCGGAGCTGATGCTGATTCGCCTGCGTGGGAGGAGGAGTGCCAGCTGCTGTATGTCCCCCAGCCACAAACCGGGCCCCTCTGTGAAGCCCTCCTGCTGCTGGGGAAAGCCTTCCAGCTGCTCATGGCTGCCAATTTCCTCGCGCTGCGCTGCCTGCTGAAAGAACTCCAGAATCTGGTTCCTCGAAATGCGCGTCCGAATGCTCGTCCGAAGGCTGGTCAAAGTGCTGGTCAGACTGATAAGAACAGCACTGATAGAGCAGCGTTCTTGGCCGGGTGGGTGGAGAATTGCAGGGCTGTTGTGCTGATGGGGCTGCGGAACGCAGAGAAGCATGTGGGGGAGGCGGTGGAGTGGGCTGGGAAGCGCAGGGCGCACCGGCTGGAGGCGAGGGGGAGGCTGGAGCTGGCTGATGTGTTCCGTGCGTTCGTGGAGGGAATGATGGCGGAACGCCTGCTCTCGACCTCCCCTGCTGGGCTGGTGAGAACTCTGCTCGCTCTTGTCCCGACCTACCGTGTTTTGATATGAGTTGACTCAAAACATGTGAGGGGGAGGCTGGAGCTTGTTGATGTGGTCCGTGCGTTCGTGGAGGGGATGATGGTGGAACGCCTGCTCTCAGCGTCCCCGGCTGGCCTGGTGAGAACAGTAGACTGCATAAACCCCCGACTGCCTCTCTTCCACCCACCCCCCTCCCTTCCCCTCTCCCTTCCCTCCCTCCCTCCCTCCCTCCCTCCCTCCGCTCTCCCTCTCCTCCTTCCCTTTTTTTTAGCTCACCTGTTTTTAAGAAGGGGAGGAGGTGTCGGGTGCATTTTTTTGGACTTTGATGGCTCACGGATGTGGTGCACTCAAGTGCTCATTCTGTGCACTTTTTCTGGCAGGATGAGTCAAGGAAGCAGCAGCTGGAGTATCTCGAGAGGGCCAAGATGCAGTGTCACATGGTGGCCTCTCACCACCTAGCCTCGGTCAGAGAGAATGACAGCCTTGGTGGCAGCGCTCGGAGAATGCTCGAGAAAGACTTGCGTGGGCTGGAGCAATCTGTTCGCGACGAACTGCGGTACTTCGCTGTGACCGAACGCGAGAAGGCGGATATCTTCAAGGCGATAGGCTTGGGAGGGGGTAGCTGGTACCGGTGCCGCAATGGGCATGTGTATGTGATTGGGGGGTGTGGCAAGGTGATGGAAGAGGCAAGCTGTCCTGAGTGTGGGGAGGTGGTGGGTGGGACGAATCACAGGCTTCGAGAAGGTAACACCCCGGCCACTGGGTTCTTTAACAGGGTTTGAGGATGTGGGTCTGGGAGGGGGTCGCTGGTACTGGTGCTGCAATGGGCATGTGTATGTGATTGGGGAGTGCGGCAAGGCGATGGAAGAGGCAAGCTGTCCTGAGTGTGGGGAGGTGGTGGGTGGGACGAATCACAGGCTTCGAGAAGGTAACACCCCGGCCACTGGGTTCTTTAACAGGGTTTGAGGATGTGGGTCTGGGAGGGGGTCGCTGGTACTGGTGCTGCAATGGGCATGTGTATGTGATTGGGGAGTGCGGCAAGGCGATGGAAGAGGCAAGCTGTCCTGAGTGTGGGGAGGTGGTGGGTGGGACGAATCACAGGCTTCGAGAAGGTAACACCCCGGCCACTGGGTTCTTTAACAGGGTTTGAGGATGTGGGTCTGGGAGGGGGTCGCTGGTACTGGTGCTGCAATGGGCATGTGTATGTGATTGGGGAGTGCGGCAAGGCGATGGAAGAGGCAAGCTGTCCTGAGTGTGGGGAGGTGGTGGGTGGGACGAATCACAGGCTTCGAGAAGGTAACACCCCGGCCACTGGGTTCTTTAACAGGGTTTGAGGATGTGGGTCTGGGAGGGGGTCGCTGGTACTGGTGCTGCAATGGGCATGTGTATGTGATTGGGGAGTGCGGCAAGGCGATGGAAGAGGCAAGCTGTCCTGAGTGTGGGGAGGTGGTGGGTGGGACGAATCACAGGCTTCGAGAAGGTAACACCCCGGCCACTGGGTTCTTTAACAGGGTTTGAGGATGTGGGTCTGGGAGGGGATCGCTGGTACTGGTGCTGCAATGGGCATGTGTATGTGATTGGGGAGTGCGGCAAGGCGATGGAAGAGGCAAGCTGTCCTGAGTGTGGGGAGGTGGTGGGAGGGACGAATCAGAGGCTTCGAGAAGGTAACACCCCGGCCACTGGGTTCTTTAACAGGATTTGAAGCTGTGGGCTTGGGAGTGGGTCACTGGTACTGGTGCTGCAATGGGCATGTGTACGTGATTGGGGAGTGTGCCGGGGCGATGGAAGAGGCAAGCTGTCCTGAGTGTGGGGAGGTGGTGGATGGGACGAGTCACAGGCTTCGAGGAGGGAATGCCCCGGCCACTGGGTTCTTTAACAGGATTTGAAGCTGTGGGCTTAGGAGGGAGGGGGACACTGGTACTGGTGCCGCAATGGGCATGTGTATGTGATTGGGGAGTGTGGTGGGGCAATGGAAGAGTCAAGCTGCCTTGAGTGCGGGGAGGTGGTGGGTGGAAGAAAGCACATGCCCAGGGAGGGGATTGGGCCAGCCATTGGTTCCATTAGTTGAAAATATATTGCGGTTTTCTCGTGTTTTATTACGGAAAAACAGTTTTACCGGTACCGGTGAAGTTGGATTCTTGCCTGATTCAGTGCGTGGAAAGTGTTGTATGCTTACTAGAATGCATCTTATATCAGAACTGCCAATTTGAAGGGGACTCAGAAGTGGTGAACGCTGTAACGGGTAGAGAAGACTGAATGCCAGCCGCTGCTGGAATAACAAGAGGAGGCACTGCTGTACCATTGTCGCGGGTCGCACGCAGTCTCAGAGGCTAGTGGTCAGGCCGATGAAAATCCGCTTCTGCGCGACGTTTTGCTCAATCTGAAGCGTCGGTGCGTCTTTCGTCTCACAGACTCACAACCATTCCCGGAATTGTTATCTCTACGACAAAATTTCGTCGCATTATCCTTCGTAGCCTTCCCTTCATATACTGGTTTTCAGGCAAAAATTGCTGGTCGGCGTCGAATCGTGGGAGGCATTTCGCCATACCTGGTCAGAATGGCCGGCACATTATGTACTCGTATGGCGTCATTTCCTTCAACGGCCATGATCAATCCTGGCCATCTCACTGGTGCCTCATCTAAACAGTCTAGTTCCTCTCAAGCACCCGCTTCCGTGTTTAGATACTTTTGTCAACGATCGGTTACCCGCAACAGCAGCATCAGCAGCACCAGCAGCATCAGCCGGCGAAGCTTCCCAACAAATGCGGCTGGGAATCTACCCGGAAATTGCAGAGCGTTCAGCAGAGAAGGACATGAAGCGAGAGCGGGGATTGCATCGCAAGATGACACGTCACCATCTGATCCTTTGTCGGTCTGCGTCACGCGCGCTGCCATCATGACATGCCCTGGACACGTGGCTGTAAGTGATTCGCCGTGTTCTTCAGAGTAAAACCCTTGAATCCTGAACCCCGAACCCTGACCCCGACCTCCCCTGCTGTTTCTCCCTCACCCAAATCCTCCGCATGTACACCAAATCCTCCCATGTACACCCAGGACGCGTTAATGGACGCTCTGCTATCTCTAGGAGCCACTACATGCTCCATAGAGGATGCCAATACGGGCACAGAAGCCGAGCAGGAGGTATGGGGGGTGAGCATGAGGTAGGGGGTGAGCATGAGGTAGGGGGTGAGCATGAGGTAGGGGGGTGGGAAAGAGGTAGGGGGTTCACCTTCGCACTCCTCACTCTCCCTCTTGTCACCTTCGCACTCCTCACTCTCCCTCTTGTCACCTTCGCACTCCTCACTCTCCCTCTTGTCACCTTCGCACTCCTCACTCTCCCTCTTGTCACCTTCGCACTCCTCACTCTCCCTCTTGTCACCTTCGCACTCCTCACTCTCCCTCTTGTCACCTTCGCACTCCTCACTCTCCCTCTTGTCACCTTCGCACTCCTCACTCTCCCTCTTGTCACCTTCGCACTCCTCACTCTCCCTCTTGTCACCTTCGCACTCCTCACTCTCCCTCTTGTCACCTTCGCACTCCTCACTCTCCCTCTTGTCACCTTCGCACTCCTCACTCTCCCTCTTGTCACCTTCGCACTCCTCACTCTCCCTCTTGTCACCTTCGCACTCCTCACTCTCCCTCTTGTCACCTTCGCACTCCTCACTCTCCCTCTTGTCACCTTCGCACTCCTCACTCTCCCTCTTGTCACCTTCACACTCCTCACTCTCCCTCTTGTCACCTTCGCACTCCTCACTCTCCCTCTTACCTCCTTCGCACTCCTCACTCTCCCTCTTACCACCTTCGCACTCCTCACTCTCCCTCTTACCACCTTCGCACTCCTCACTCTCCCTCTTACCACCTTCGCACTCCTCACTCTCCCTCTTGTCACCTTCGCACTCCTCACTCTCCCTCTTTTCACCTTCGCACTCCTCACTCTCCCTCTTGTCACCTTCGCACTCCTCACTCTCCCTCTTGTCACCTTCGCACTCCTCACTCTCCCTCTTGTCACCTTCGCACTCCTCACTCTCCCTCTTGTCACCTTCGCACTCCTCACTCTCCCTCTTGTCACCTTCGCACTCCTCACTCTCCCTCTTGTCACCTTCGCACTCCTCACTCTCCCTCTTGTCACCTTCGCACTCCTCACTCTCCCTCTTGTCACCTTCGCACTCCTCACTCTCCCTCTTGTCACCTTCGCACTCCTCACTCTCCCTCTTGTCACCTTCGCACTCCTCACTCTCCCTCTTGTCACCTTCGCACTCCTCACTCTCCCTCTTGTCACCTTCGCACTCCTCACTCTCCCTCTTGTCACCTTCGCACTCCTCACTCTCCCTCTTGTCACCTTCGCACTCCTCACTCTCCCTCTTGTCACCTTCGCACTCCTCACTCTCCCTCTTGTCACCTTCGCACCCCTCACTCTCCCTCTTGTCACCTTCGCACTCCTCACTCTCCCTCTTGTCACCTTCGCACTCCTCACTCTCCCTCTTGTCACCTTCGCACTCCTCACTCTCCCTCTTGTCACCTTCGCACTCCTCACTCTCCCTCTTACCTCCTTCGCACTCCTCACTCTCCCTCTTACCACCTTCGCACTCCTCACTCTCCCTCTTACCACCTTCGCACTCCTCACTCTCCCTCTTACCACCTTCGCACTCCTCACTCTCCCTCTTACCACCTTCGCACTCCTCACTCTCCCTCTTACCACCTTCGCACTCCTCACTCTCCCTCTTACCACCTTCGCACTCCTCACTCTCCCTCTTACCACCTTCGCACTCCTCACTCTCCCTCTTACCACCTTCGCACTCCTCACTCTCCCTCTTACCACCTTCGCACTCCTCACTCTCCCTCTTACCACCTTCGCACTCCTCACGCTCCCTCTTGTCACCTTCGCACTCCTCACTCTCCCTCTTACCACCTTCGCACTCCTCACTCTCCCTCTTACCACCTTCGCACTCCTCACTCTCCCTCTTACCACCTTCGCACTCCTCACTCTCCCTCTTACCACCTTCGCACTCCTCACTCTCCCTCTTGTCACCTTCGCACTCCTCACTCTCCCTCTTTTCACCTTCGCACTCCTCACTCTCCCTCTTGTCACCTTCGCACTCCTCACTCTCCCTCTTGTCTCCTTCGCACTCCTCACTCTCCCTCTTGTCACCTTCGCACTCCTCACTCTCCCTCTTACCACCTTCGCACTCCTCACTCTCCCTCTTACCTCCTTCGCACTCCTCACTCTCCCTCTTACCACCTTCGCACTCCTCACTCTCCCTCTTACCACCTTCGCACTCCTCACTCTCCCTCTTACCACCTTCGCACTCCTCACTCTCCCTCTTACCACCTTCGCACTCCTCACTCTCCCTCTTACCACCTTCGCACTCCTCACTCTCCCTCTTACCACCTTCGCGCTCCTCACTCTCCCTCTTACCACCTTCGCACTCCTCACTCTCCCTCTTACCACCTTCGCACTCCGCACTCTCCCTCTTACCACCTTCGCACTCCTCACTCTCCCTCTTGTCACCTTCGCACTCCTCACTCTCCCTCTTACCACCTTCGCACTCCTCACTCTCCCTCTTACCACCTTCGCACTCCTCACTCTCCCTCTTACCACCTTCGCACTCCTCACTCTCCCTCTTACCACCTTCGCACTCCTCACTCTCCCTCTTACCACCTTCGCACTCCTCACTCTCCCTCTTACCACCTTCGCACTCCTCACTCTCCCTCTTGTCACCTTCGCACTCCTCACTCTCCCTCTTACCACCTTCGCACTCCTCACTCTCCCTCTTACCACCTTCGCACTCCTCACTCTCCCTCTTACCACCTTCGCACTCCTCACTCTCCCTCTTACCACCTTCGCACTCCTCACTCTCCCTCTTGTCACCTTCGCACTCCTCACTCTCCCTCTTGTCACCTTCGCACTCCTCACTCTCCCTCTTGTCACCTTCGCACTCCTCACTCTCCCTCTTACCTCCTTCGCACTCCTCACTCTCCCTCTTACCACCTTCGCACTCCTCACTCTCCCTCTTGTCACCTTCGCACTCCTCACTCTCCCTCTTACCACCTTCGCACTCCTCACTCTCCCTCTTACCACCTTCGCACTCCTCACTCTCCCTCTTACCACCTTCGCACTCCTCACTCTCCCTCTTACCACCTTCGCACTCCTCACTCTCCCTCTTACCACCTTCGCACTCCTCACTCTCCCTCTTACCACCTTCGCACTCCTCACTCTCCCTCTTACCACCTTCGCACTCCTCACTCTCCCTCTTACCACCTTCGCACTCCTCACTCTCCCTCTTGTCACCTTCGCACTCCTCACTCTCCCTCTTACCACCTTCGCACTCCTCACTCTCCCTCTTACCACCTTCGCACTCCTCACTCTCCCTCTTACCACCTTCGCACTCCTCACTCTCCCTCTTACCACCTTCGCACTCCTCAATCTCCCTCTTGTCACCTTCGCACTCCTCACTCTCCCTCTTGTCACCTTCGCACTCCTCACTCTCCCTCTTGTCACCTTCGCACTCCTCACTCTCCCTCTTGTCTCCTTCGCACTCCTCACTCTCCCTCTTGTCACCTTCGCACTCCTCACTCTCCCTCTTGTCACCTTCGCACTCCTCACTCTCCCTCTTACCTCCTTCGCACTCCTCACTCTCCCTCTTACCACCTTCGCACTCCTCACTCTCCCTCTTACCACCTTCGCACTCCTCACTCTCCCTCTTACCACCTTCGCACTCCTCACTCTCCCTCTTACCACCTTCGCACTCCTCACTCTCCCTCTTACCACCTTCGCACTCCTCACTCTCCCTCTTACCACCTTCGCACTCCTCACTCTCCCTCTTACCACCTTCGCACTCCTCACTCTCCCTCTTACCACCTTCGCACTCCTCACTCTCCCTCCTGTCACCTTCGCACTCCTCACTCTCCCTCTTGTCACCTTCGCACTCCTCACTCTCCCTCTTACCACCTTCGCACTCCTCACTCTCCCTCTTACCACCTTCGCACTCCTCACTCTCCCTCTTACCACCTTCGCACTCCTCACTCTCCCTCTTACCACCTTCGCACTCCTCACTCTCCCTCTTACCACCTTCGCACTCCTCACTCTCCCTCTACCACCTTCGCACTCCTCACTCTCCCTCTTACCACCTTCGCACTCCTCACTCTCCCTCTTGTCACCTTCGCACTCCTCACTCTCCCTCTTGTCACCTTCGCACTCCTCACTCTCCCTCTTGTCACCTTCGCACTCCTCACTCTCCCTCTTGTCTCCTTCGCACTCCTCACTCTCGCTCTTGTCACCTTCGCACTCCTCACTCTCGCTCTTGTCACCTTCGCACTCCTCACTCTCCCTCTTACCTCCTTCGCACTCCTCACTCTCCCTCTTACCACCTTCGCACTCCTCACTCTCCCTCTTACCACCTTCGCACTCCTCACTCTCCCTCTTACCACCTTCGCACTCCTCACTCTCCCTCTTACCACCTTCGCACTCCTCACTCTCCCTCTTACCACCTTCGCACTCCTCACTCTCCCTCTTACCACCTTCGCACTCCTCACTCTCCCTCTTACCACCTTCGCACTCCTCACTCTCCCTCTTGTCACCTTCGCACTCCTCACTCTCCCTCTTACCACCTTCGCACTCCTCACTCTCCCTCTTACCACCTTCGCACTCCTCACTCTCCCTCTTACCACCTTCGCACTCCTCACTCTCCCTCTTACCACCTTCGCACTCCTCACTCTCCCTCTTGTCACCTTCGCACTCCTCACTCTCCCTCTTGTCACCTTCGCACTCCTCACTCTCCCTCTTGTCACCTTCGCACTCCTCACTCTCCCTCTTGTCTCCTTCGCACTCCTCACTCTCCCTCTTACCTCCTTCGCACTCCTCACTCTCCCTCTTACCACCTTCGCACTCCTCACTCTCCCTCTTACCACCTTCGCACTCCTCACTCTCCCTCTTACCACCTTCGCACTCCTCACTCTCCCTCTTACCACCTTCGCACTCCTCACTCTCCCTCTTACCACCTTCGCACTCCTCACTCTCCCTCTTACCACCTTCGCACTCCTCACTCTCCCTCTTACCACCTTCGCACTCCTCACTCTCCCTCTTACCACCTTCGCACTCCTCACTCTCCCTCCTGCCACCTTCGCACTCCTCACTCTCCCTCTTACCACCTTCGCACTCCTCACTCTCCCTCTTGTCACCTTCGCACTCCTCACTCTCCCTCTTACCACCTTCGCACTCCTCACTCTCCCTCTTACCACCTTCGCACTCCTCACTCTCCCTCTTACCACCTTCGCACTCCTCACTCTCCCTCTTACCACCTTCGCACTCCTCACTCTCCCTCTTGTCACCTTCGCACTCCTCACTCTCCCTCTTGTCACCTTCGCACTCCTCACTCTCCCTCTTGTCACCTTCGCACTCCTCACTCTCCCTCTTACCTCCTTCGCACTCCTCACTCTCCCTCTTACCACCTTCGCACTCCTCACTCTCCCTCTTGTCACCTTCGCACTCCTCACTCTCCCTCTTACCACCTTCGCACTCCTCACTCTCCCTCTTACCACCTTCGCACTCCTCACTCTCCCTCTTACCACCTTCGCACTCCTCACTCTCCCTCTTACCACCTTCGCACTCCTCACTCTCCCTCTTACCACCTTCGCACTCCTCACTCTCCCTCTTACCACCTTCGCACTCCTCACTCTCCCTCTTACCACCTTCGCACTCCTCACTCTCCCTCTTGTCACCTTCGCACTCCTCACTCTCCCTCTTACCACCTTCGCACTCCTCACTCTCCCTCTTACCACCTTCGCACTCCTCACTCTCCCTCTTACCACCTTCGCACTCCTCACTCTCCCTCTTACCACCTTCGCACTCCTCACTCTCCCTCTTGTCACCTTCGCACTCCTCACTCTCCCTCTTGTCACCTTCGCACTCCTCACTCTCCCTCTTGTCACCTTCGCACTCCTCACTCTCCCTCTTGTCTCCTTCGCACTCCTCACTCTCCCTCTTGTCACCTTCGCACTCCTCACTCTCCCTCTTGTCACCTTCGCACTCCTCACTCTCCCTCTTACCTCCTTCGCACTCCTCACTCTCCCTCTTACCACCTTCGCACTCCTCACTCTCCCTCTTACCACCTTCGCACTCCTCACTCTCCCTCTTACCACCTTCGCACTCCTCACTCTCCCTCTTACCACCTTCGCACTCCTCACTCTCCCTCTTACCACCTTCGCACTCCTCACTCTCCCTCTTACCACCTTCGCACTCCTCACTCTCCCTCTTACCACCTTCGCACTCCTCACTCTCCCTCTTACCACCTTCGCACTCCTCACTCTCCCTCTACCACCTTCGCACTCCTCACTCTCCCTCTTACCACCTTCGCACTCCTCACTCTCCCTCTTGTCACCTTCGCACTCCTCACTCTCCCTCTTGTCACCTTCGCACTCCTCACTCTCCCTCTTGTCACCTTCGCACTCCTCACTCTCCCTCTTGTCTCCTTCGCACTCCTCACTCTCCCTCTTGTCACCTTCGCACTCCTCACTCTCCCTCTTACCACCTTCGCACTCCTCACTCTCCCTCTTACCTCCTTCGCACTCCTCACTCTCCCTCTTACCACCTTCGCACTCCTCACTCTCCCTCTTACCACCTTCGCACTCCTCACTCTCCCTCTTACCACCTTCGCACTCCTCACTCTCCCTCTTACCACCTTCGCACTCCTCACTCTCCCTCTTACCACCTTCGCACTCCTCACTCTCCCTCTTACCACCTTCGCACTCCTCACTCTCCCTCTTACCACCTTCGCACTCCTCACTCTCCCTCTTACCACCTTCGCACTCCTCACTCTCCCTCTTACCACCTTCGCACTCCTCACTCTCCCTCTTGTCACCTTCGCACTCCTCACTCTCCCTCTTGTCACCTTCGCACTCCTCACTCTCCCTCTTACCACCTTCGCACTCCTCACTCTCCCTCTTACCACCTTCGCACTCCTCACTCTCCCTCTTACCACCTTCGCACTCCTCACTCTCCCTCTTACCACCTTCGCACTCCTCACTCTCCCTCTTACCACCTTCGCACTCCTCACTCTCCCTCTTACCACCTTCGCACTCCTCACTCTCCCTCTTACCACCTTCGCACTCCTCACTCTCCCTCTTACCACCTTCGCACTCCTCACTCTCCCTCTTACCACCTTCGCACTCCTCACTCTCCCTCTACCACCTTCGCACTCCTCACTCTCCCTCTTACCACCTTCGCACTCCTCACTCTCCCTCTTGTCACCTTCGCACTCCTCACTCTCCCTCTTGTCACCTTCGCACTCCTCACTCTCCCTCACCACCTTCGCACTCCTCACTCTCCCTCTTACCAACTTTGCACTCCTCCTCACTCATCGCTCATCTCTACCACCTTTGCACTACTCGCATGCACATGCATACATGCATACATGCATACATGCATACATGCATACATGCATACATGCATACATGCATGCTCTCACACTCCTCATTCCTCACATGCAAGAACTCATGCACATTAACACATGAACATACGTATCCCATCATGTGCATACGTATCCCATCATGTACATACGTATCCCATCATGTACATACGTTTCCCATCATGTACATACGTATCCCATCATGTACATACGGATCCCATCATGTACATACGTATCCCATCATGTACATACGTATCCCATCATGTACATACGGATCCCATCATGTACATACGGATCCCATCATGTACATACGGATCCCATCATGTACATACGGATCCCATCATGTACATACGTATCCCATCATGTACATACGTATCCCATCATGTACATACGTATCCCATCATGTACATACGTATCCCATCATGTACATACGTATCCCATCATGAACATGCGTATCCCATCATGAACATGCGTATCCCATCATGTACATACGTATCAACACATGAACATGCGTATTCCCTCCCCACATTCAGCTCCTTCCCCCCTCTGATTTCGCCATTCTTTCTCTGCAAAATCACAGATATACTCATCCGGGCCCATTCCCTGGGATCCCAGTGGCCCCCGCAACCTCTGGAATCAGGTGCGCCGTCATTACACGTCTCAAAGGTTCCATTTAACCTATTATAGGCTAAAAAAAAAAAAGAAAAAAAAAAGTGTCGTTTACTGCGAGTAATCACTGTGCACCGTTTTTTCTCTCACTCCCTCCGGTTTCAGCTGTCCCTCCCACCTCTCTCCCCAGTCTTTCCGTGGCATTCATTTTCCTGTCGTGAGTCTGCAATGTCGCCCTCCCTCCCTCTCCCCAACCCGCTTCCTCTCATTATCCTCCTATTCCTCTTCGACAACTCAAATTTGGGTGTGAATTTTTTATTCAAATGCTTTTCATAACCAGATACGTCTTCTTCTCCCGATTCCCCTGCTCCAGACTCGGCTACGGGCGCTCTTCCCAGCCAATCAGAGCGAGGAGAACATCCGCAGCACTGTTCACCGGGCGGCAGACTCAGTGCAGTGGGCCATGGGGGGGTGGGGGGAGGAGGAGGAAGAGGGAGAGGAAGGTGGAGGAGGGGAGGATGGGGAGGAGAGGGAGGAGGGTGTGGGAGTTCTGTTGCTGGGGATAGAGGAGGTGGCGGAGCGAGACTGGGTGCAGCAAGTACAGGTGAGTCTTCTGAGTCGGCACTTCACTCAGAAAAGATGATGGGCCAGTGTACTATGACAGTTTTGCTGGGGATAGAGGAGGTGGTGGAGCGAGACTGGGTGCAACAAGTACAGGCGAGTCTTGAATCTATGCCAAACTCATCCCAAAAGTGCTCTAGAGTTAGTCTATGGTACAAGAGTAGTGGTGCTGGCGGTGGAGGAGGGGTGGTCCGTGGACCAAGGACTCAACATTTCGTTTTAATCGCTTTCCGTTATGCCAAAAGCAATGCGCTGCCTTTCCACCCTGCCTCTCTGCGTGCAGGACTCCTTCCATCCCATCCGTGTGGACCAAGGCCTTTGGATCGTCCCTTCCTGGGCCACACTGCCGGATGAGGTATGGCCACAGGCCTTGGAATGGTGCAAACTGTTATGAAAATGTAAGTCTCTGGTTCTTTGAAGCCTGGTTTAGGGTTTAGGGTTTATGAAAATGTAAGTCTCTGGTTCTTTGAAGCCTGGTCCCTGCACGGACTGCAGTGCAAAGCTCCACTCCTGTTTTCCTTCTCCCTGTTTTCAGCCCTCTCAAGACCCTCACAGAAGAACCCCTAGCGTTTCACCTCCCTCTAAGCCAGTCTCAAGAGCAGTCTCATCTCATCTCTAATTGATATAGCTGGTATACACGCATCCCTCTCAAGCCAGACCATCACTCTCGAGCCGGATCTCGCCTTCGTAAACCGGTAACCACCCCACCTCGCGCCGCTGCCTGCGCTGTGAATTCCCCCTTCCGCCTTCCCACCCCTTCTCAGGTATCACAAGACCAGTCCCAAGACCAGCCCTCTCTAGCAATCACACTAGAGCCCGGTCTCGCATTCGGCGGCGATCACCCCACCACACGTCTCTGCATTTACCGGCTGCAAAGTCACCTCTCTGTTCTGCCTCCCCACCTTTCCAGGTCTCACAAGACCAGTCACAAGACCACCCCTTTCTAGCCATAACTCTCGAGCCCGGTCTCGCATTCGGCACTGGCGACCACCCCACCACCCGGCTCTGCCTGCGCTGGCTGCGCGCGGTCGTGACACCTGGCAGCACGCTATTGGACTACGGCACGGGCTCCGGCGTGCTGGCGATCGCAGGGATCAAGATGGGAGCAGCAGCAGCGGTGGGGGTGGATATCGATGAACTGTCAGTGGCAGCAGCAGCGCACAACGCATCCCTCAATAGCATCCCTCCTTCGCAATTCACCGTCCTTCTCACACACCCGGACGGCCCAGATCTGCTTGATGAGTTTGATGTTAATGAAGCCGGAGGGACTGCTGCTATGGAATCTAGGGTCGGTGTTGGTGCTGGCTTGGTGTTGCCGACTCTTCCTGCTGAGCTGGCAGTCTCTGATTCGTCGGACACACGCGTGCTGTTTGACGTTGTGGCTGCCAACATTCTCGTGAACCCTCTTCTCCTATTGGCTGGGCGGATTTCTTCCAGAACCAAGCCTGGTGGGAGGCTTGGGCTGTCAGGAATATTGACCAATCAGGTACGGTCTGGTCTGTTGCATTGGTCTTGTGAGTTACCATTTACGGTACTTTTTAATTTATTTTATATTAACTTCATATTTCTTTCCTCCTCACCTTTTGTTGTCTTTATACTGCAGGTGGAGCAAGTTATTACAGCATACGCTCCTTATGCAGAAGTAATCTCTGTTGAGGAGGAGGATGGATGGGCTCTTGTTAGCTTGCAAAGAAACCAGTGAACCTTTCAAAGAAAATTGTGTGGACAATTGAGGGTTGCATTGGTTCATGTAACAAGACGACTAAATTGTTCTTGTTACAGTGAGTTGGTGGTTCATCCACATCTGAGTTCAGAATCGCCAGTGTTGACAGCCTGCGTTTATCGAGGATAGCTGGTCCACAAGACTGGTGGCGGATCTGGCAAACGGGGGAGCTGGACTTGCACGTGCACCCTACTTCCCAGAGAGGCAAGTGCACTCGTTTGGGGATAAGAACTGGTGGAGTGCGATGCTGTGATGTCCACTTCGATAACCTTTGTCAACCGTTACCAACCTTTCTGAACATCGATCGGCAATATCAAGATGGACTGATGATAGCTGCTGGGATCGGATAGCCCTAGCAGCCTTTATGATAAACGAGCCCAGGACACCTCGAAACTGCTCGGATAACTCCCGTTGTCGATCTTCGCGATTGGTCAGAGCGGGTCATAGTCTGCACTGAAGAATCAGAAATCTACTACGCGCTGCGTCAATGGGCGTCAATTGTTAACGCTTGCGTTCTTGTGTAGTTGTGGTATGGTAGTTAGTGGTATTAAGTGGTGATCCATCGCTATGAGGTCGTCGTCCACGTTCCTCCCGTTACGCCATGGCGTACCGCATCGACCGCACCAGCAGCAGCAACGGTCCTCTCTGCTTACTCAGCTTCACCAGCTGCACTGCCACCTCCTCCTCGTCGCCGCCGTCACCTGCGTCGCGTACCTCTCAGCCTACTCTGCTCAATCACTGCAAGGCCCCTCAAGGCTGTCTGAGACATCAGATTCAGAGCTTCCTATCACCTTCGAGACGCCTCATTCTTCTGAATCATCGCATTCGGGAAAGCTGGGAAAAGTTGGCACTGATCCCGTTCCGGATCGGACCGTTAGTGGTCCGGTTGGTCCACTTCAGCCTTCGGATTCCCGTCAAATGGATGCTCCTAGCCGCGATACAAGCACAATGCTCCACCTGCAGCAAACTGTCAGTCCGAGGCTACTAAATTCATCTCCAGCTGACATTCCGTCCAAGCCTGGATCCGGACCAGACCCCACACCATCACTTCCGAACCAGACCCCGGACCAGAGCCTACGAGACAGGCAGGTTCGGGATGACCAACAACGCTCAGATGACACGTGCGCCGCTCCCATTGGCGTCAGGCTCCCCCCTTCTCCATCATCCACACCCGAACCTCTTACAGCAGCACCAGAATGGGTCCCATTACCCAACCGGTACCTTATGGTTTCATGCACCAACGGCGGAAGTACGAATCGCCTCTTATGCCTTCAAAAGACCATTCTTGCATCAATTCTCCTGAACCGCACGCTGCTCATTCCCGAGGTTCCTCTCTGCATCCCTCGCTCTCTTGGCCGGCCGGTGGTGTATTCTGAAACCCTAGACATTGGCCACTTGTCTCAGTGCTTCGGAGGCTTGCCCAAACCTGAGCAACCAGGTCCGGAAAACGGAGCAGACGCAGGCTCGAAAGCAGGTTCGCTTAAGCATGGCCAGCCTCTCCATAAGGTGGTAACAGGATCGGAGTTCTTGAACCTAAAAGGGGGTGGTGGAAGCGAATTAGTAGTTAATAAATTCCTCTGTGGTCAGGTGCAGTTCAGCTGTACCTTTATAGATGGCAGCTGCGGAGACATTCCTCCTGAGATAAAACTCTTAAAGAAAGAAATTCTCGGGGAGGAGAGTGGTAATCTCTATGCCCTGGCTCCTAAGATTGCAGCTGCAACTGCTGACGTTCCTGTCCTCGCTCTGGGTGACCTGTTCTTCTCATTCTCCAAGATTGGAGATCCTGGTCCCGAATACTTCTGGCCAAGCCGATTCTATAATACTCAGTGTAAGCTGCTTTTCCAGCCTCCCCAGCAAGTGCTTGACCAAGCTGCAGGGTTCATAGAAGAGTACTTTGGGGGGAACTACGCTTCTCTACACCTTCGCCGAACGGATTTTCTCGACCATAGCCACATGATGAACGTACAGTACTGGCCGTTACAGGTGGTGGCGGAGTGTACTGCATCG